GTATGCTTCTAAAAAGCTGTCGTGTCCAGTTTTTTCTTCTTCTTTTATTCGCAATTTCAATGTTGTTACGTGCAAAGATTTTTTGGGGGGAAGGGGAGGATGTTTTTCAAATTAGAAATCAGGCTATGTATTCTAAACAAGAGGGTAGTCAATCTTTTTTGGAAGAGTGCAACTACCCGAAGAAAGAAAAATTATGCATGCCACTACCAACTTTTCCGGTACAGTAAAAAAATATAAAAACTAGGGAAATTTTTTTTAAATCGATCCTGGTTATAGAAGTTATAATAATAATATAACTTCTTAACTTAATTAACAAAAAAATTTTTTTTTTCATGTTAGTCCGAGAAAGGATCTCTTAAATAGCATAAATAAAATAAAATTAAGAACATATGTTTTAGTTTTAGTCCACATTTTTAAAGGTTCAATTGGGTTATACAAAAAATAAAAATGAATAACTTTAAACATTTCTACTTTTAATAGTTATTGAGCAGTCAATTATTAATTTGGGTTTGCTTTTGAATATGTATTTTAATTTTCGAAGATAGACAAGATCTTGAAGATGCAAACAATGGTGCTTAAAAGTATATTAATTATTCTTGAGCAATACTTTTAGCTTCATTAAGTTTAAAAAATGTTTATTAACGTAAGTTGATTAGAAATGTACAACAGTTTCCAAAATTAATATTATTTGAGACGGTTGGAGTATATGAGTAGGTTTTCATGTGGACATTTGCAAAGTTTCTAAAGATAAAATTATTATTATTTTTTAAAAAGTTTTCATGCGCCACTGTTAAAGCTCACTGTGGCACGTGTGCTACAGGTTTGCAGAACCTTATTTTAAATTACAGAAAAAATCTTAATTCAACAAATGGTCACCTGCCAATTGAATTGAATTTTGAAATTTTTAAGAATTGCAAAGAATCCTAGAGGTAAGATAATGGGATGGAAAAATTGTGATTCTGAAAATTAGTCCTGAAAATTATTTTCAGGCCTAATTTCTTTTTCATGGAAGTATAAATGTTTTAAAGAAGAAAAAAAAACAATTAATCAATCAAAAAATAATATCAAATGAATAAATAACACCAAATAAATAAATAAATGAAAAAATAAATAAGTAATATCAATTTCTCGTAAGAAGAGCGATAAAATTAATTTGATTTAAATAATTTTACTTCTTTCTAATTTTTCGTAAATTTATTTCTATATTGAATATAAAAGGCATTCGTATGCTTTATATGCCTTTAAAATAATGGAGGAATAAATACAGATAAGTGATATTTCTCATAGTTGTTACATAAAAATTTACTATTAATCATTAAAATTATTTTTTCATTTCCGAGTTTAAAGTAGAATATATCACGTTGCGGCATTACATGATACATAAATAAACAGGGGTGAATAAAAATATGTCAGAGTATTTACGCCTGATATCTATAGTATATTTTAAGCTAGGTAACTACACTTAAAAAAAAAAAAAAGAAATCTGTTATATTACAGAAAATGTCTGGTAGCAAAGTTACCAGTATGCTACGAAAATAATACGTTGACAGCTATTTTCTGTACCAAAACACTGCAAAAATATCTGTATGCACCAGATATTTTCTGGAGGTCAGAATACGGTGGAGAAATTTGACATAAAGGTAGCTTTATACCCTCTGTTTTACATAGAGTACAGATTTCTAAAATTGTGATTAGTTTTCTAATTATTCCATGTTTTGCATGATTTTACAGGTATAGAAAACCAATATGTTTAGAAGTATCATAGTAGAATTCTTTTTCTTCCAATGATAGGTTTAAATGTTCTTAAGCGGGACTCGATCCCGGAACCTTCCTAGTTTGAGGCCAACTCTTTGACCACCATGCAATCCAGACGTCATCTGCTTCAATGCATCAAATTATTTTTTGCCACTCTGATACGAAAGTTTTTCATATTCAAAACTGAAAAAATCTGTACCCAACAGATACAATTTGAATCAATGGTTAAAGATTTTATTCGCTAACAGAAACAAAATTTATGAAGTTTTAGTGCGACATATTTACGATGTAAGTGTGACAGATTTCGATATAACCTAGCAATAAATTTCTTCAGTTTCAAAGAACAGAAATATTCTGCAAGAAAGTTGTAGGATTCTTATGTTTTTTAAATAAAATTTACAGTGTAGGGTATAAAAGAAACAATGAAAAATGCGTCATTGTGATGTCACAGTGTTCTAGTTAATGGTTTGAAGAAAAATAAGCTGGAAAATTTTGAAAACTTGTGAAATGAGGAAAGCGTTTTACACCTATAATTTCCTAGCCTTACTAAATTTCAAGTAGATTGGTAGGTAATGCTTCTTGTACTTTCCTAATAGAAGGATTAAAAACTAAATAAAAACATTATTCGATGAAAAAAAATACTTGGAATTGAAGTAGGAAAATGGTTTTTGATGGATTTTTATGCAGGAAATTAAAATTACTCAAAACAATCAGTTAAGTCTCTTGAAACTTCTTCTTCTCATTGGCACGACAGCCCAGGATGGGCCTTGATCTTCTCAACAAGCCTATGCCAAGACATTCTTCCCTTAGCCAAGGTTCTCCAGTTTATTATCTTTAAAACTTGTAGGTTCTTCTCATGGCGGTCTAAAAATCTTAGGTTTGGTCGTCTTCTTTTCTTGTTCCTGTTGGCCTGGCACAGAAAACTTTTTTGATTGTCCTGCTATCCTCCATTCTTATAATGTGGCCTGCCCATTTAATTCTTTGAATTTTGATAAATTTAATGACATCATGTTCCTTATATGCTTTGTAAAGTTCCGTGTTTGATCTTCTAAACCAGGTGAAACTAATAAAATAAAAAATGAAGGAATATGAATTTGTTTGATTCTTTTAGACATTATTTATTTCAGAACTAAATAAATGGGTTTAAAAAAAGGGGGGAAAGCATTTTAATTGTTCAATTTCATAGCGAGTCATTCCGTTAACAGATAAATATGATTATAATTAAATCACTGGTTTCATACTGTTAGACATTGTTTAGTATGAAACTCAACAAACGTTTTTATTTCTATAAAGAGAAATACAATTTTTTAATAGTTTAATGTTGTTTCAAGCTGTCATATCATAACATGATTCGAATATAACAATGATTTCAAACTTTTAGAAAGTATTTAGTACAAAATTCAATGAAAGTGTTTTTTTTTTTAAAAAGAAAAACACAATTTTAAAAGTTCACTTTTATTGCTAGTTATTCAGTGAATAGATAGTTAAAATTCATACATAACACTGTCATTATAGCCTTAAGCACTGTGGAGTATATAATTCAACTAATGTGTTTTATTTTTAAAAAGAAGGACACAGTTTCAAAATAGTTAATTTTATTGCAAGCTATTCCGTGAATAGATAAATATGATTCGATGACAAACACAAATCCAAAGCTTTATTATTGCAAGGTTGGATTGTAATGTTACATATTCCAACTACAGACTAGTTTATATGTTGTTTTCAGAAACTGTACAAATATTTTATTTACAGTTTAGATTAAAGCAGCGAGCACCATTTTGAAACAGTTCGATAAACAAGTAAGTGTAATAGAACAGTTTTGTATATTTCTTACAAATTTTTCCTGACTTTTTACCTTAGGAATGAACGTGTTTATGTACAATAATAAATAGAGAATAGTAATGCAAACACCGAACACATATCGTGACTTTGTTCTATACTTCATTGGTAAATTCCGAATGTACATTTAACAAAATATTAACGCAATAAATAATACAAATAAACACTAACATTCATTTACATAAACACAATGAATGAGATCCCATAATAATAATACGTATCACAGTTGAATTAAGTAACCTTAAGTTAGAATTTTCATTTCAGTTTACAAGAACGTCAAAGTATTCCATATTTTAAAGTAGAGGAATACATAATTTTCAAAATAAGATGTAGTTGACATTTTTAAACTTTAAAGCATGCAAAATCATAATTTAAAAAAGGATTCAGTGCATAAATGAAAAAACAAAATATATTTTAATTTTTTTTTCTTTTTTGAAATTGTTATATTATGTTTGCAATTTGTGTTCCGTAGATCGTGGAGAGCTTCTTTTTCCTTCTTCTTAACTTATGCAATTCTTTTTCTCAAGCTTATGGAATAAAATATTTTTATACGCTTATGTTTCCTTCAAATAAGCTTAAGTTAGAATATTTATTTGAGTATACAATAAATTTAAAATGAATCTAAAGTTCTTCTTCTTCAAAAGTAAAGAAATACAGAAAAATATAAAATATTAAACATAATAAAATGCGGAAAATAAGAAATTTTTTTAACAAAAAAAAAAAAACTTTATTAAAATGTTTTAGCTTTATACAACTATAATATGATTAAGGAAATACTATTTTATGCATTAAATATTGTATGTAAAATATAAATACCCCAAAATATCAGTGTTTCTGACTTCACAAGCATCGGTATATCTTACGTATAATTTACTTCTTATCTGATAGTTTAATTTTTTAATTTCTTTGCATTCATGCATTGTATATGTGTAATACCCATTTATTTAGGTTTTAATTTAAATGCACGATTTGATTTAGTTGCAAGACTTAATTCTCAGATTTTTAAAATTAAAAAAAACTGAAAAGTTTTTGTAATTTTAAATTAAGACGCTTGTAAGATTTAATTTCCACATTTAAAACTTAAAAATGCATGAATTAAAAAAATTTAATGAAATACAACATAGACAAATGTTTTTAATGATGTAAGAATATAGGATTATCACACAAGTTCATTTCGTGTAATATGAGAATTTAGTTATTCTGTTATATTTAGATTGATGATGTTTTCAATATCTATTTCACACAGAAGAATGATTATAAAGTCTATGCGTCATTAATCTCAGCGATAGAGGGTTCTTGCGAACACTGGCTCGTTTTTGTTTCGCTCTACGTTTCTGAATGTACCATGAGAATTTAAATATACTGTTATTTAGATTTCATGCTTTTAAATTAAAACGTTCAACGAGTTCGTAATACACAATATTTTTATGACATTATCAATATCTATTTTACAGTAGAATGATTATAAAGTCCATGCGCCATTAATTTCAGCGCTAAAGGGTTTTTGCGTCCACTGGCACGTTTTTGTTTCGCTCTGTGATTCTGGAACCAGATTTTGACTTGACTTTCTGTCAATTTTAAGTCCTGAGCTAAAGAAGCTCGTCTTTTTTCACTCAAGTATGGATTCTCAAGGAATTCTTGTTTCAGCCTTAGAAGTTGACTGCCTGAAAATGCTGTTCGACATCGTTTCTCGTCATTGCGTTCTTTTTTCTTTAGCCTGCGACAGCGAGGACCTAAAAATTAAAATAATAATTATTATCACAGAAACAGCATGTTTTACAATAAATATTATTAACATATATTCGTAGAATCCTTGTAAAAATTACATTAGAGGTAGCAACATAAAATTTTAATGAAGAAAAAAACAAAAAAATATCGAAATCTGTAGCTCACAACTGAAGTAGGCAGGAATGAAAACAAGGAAATCTTTCTGACCGTTGGAGGTAACAGAGAGCAATTGATACGTAGATTATTATAAACATCTCAAAGTTCTATCAGGCAATCAAACAGATTTTGATGCTTTCAGTCTCGTCTTCTTCAGTAGTGATTCGTAGATTTCAACAGCGGTTTTGGTATTGAGTATATCGATTAACGGTTTTGAACTGGCAGCCCGCGAACTGCTTGTGGCCCGAGGTGTGTTTTTTACAGTCTGCGAAAGAAAATATTTTCCTTTCAATTTTGTGTAAGGAATACACAAAGTTACAAAAAATTTTTCTTTATCGAACAAATTCGATTTCTCTCAGCTTCCATGAAAATGTAATGCATTCATTTGCATACTATTTCATCCCTAATCAAATGTGGAAAGTTTATTATTTTTTTTAACCCATTTTAGGTCCAGTATAGAAACTTTATAAAATATGGCATAATTTTCATTGAAACATGCCTAAATTACATTCATTAAGACGCAAAAAGTTTCATGCCTGAAAAATAATACTTCATTTAAGGAACAAAATGGTGCGTATATGCACCACTAACCAAATCAATGGACGTTTAATTAAATGCTAGTTTTTTGTGACATTTGTTTTATTTTACTCCATTTACCGAATTTTCAATTTTAATCCATCATAAAAACACATGATTAATCTCAAGGAAAATATTTATGCGTTTTCTCAAACTCGAATTTGTTAAAAAAAACCCATTTAAATTAAAGTGAAAAACTAGCTAACTAGAACTTTGAAAGTTTCTCATCAGAAAGTGTTTACTAATATTTATTACTGATTACTAATATTTTAAAGATGTCTTCAGAACCCTTAAAAATAGCAGAAAAATAAAATTAATGAAAAATTTCCGTCACAGTGCTACTAAAAACCATTTCTTGAAATGGTGCGTCTTAGGCCTCAAATAGGTTAATTTACGGGTTTTTATGGTAAGCTTTTAAAATTTGCTAGACTATCTCGGAAATTTGCATTAATTTTCGCGGGAACGCATTTAACGAGCTTGTGCTAAAGTGTTCTGCATTGAAATTTATAAAAAACCAACATGAAGCCTCCAAGAAGATTCTTCTCTAGTCAAACAACAAAACAACAACAAGACTTAACGTAGATATCCTGAACATTTGGTGAACAAAACTCACTGAACATTTTGTAGGAAAATTTTGCATAGAGGAAAATAATTGTACTGTGTGGTAATGACATTTCCGGTCAAAAAACAAACAAACATAATTCTGATCAATTAAATCAAAGCATACGGTATTTGAAAAAACTCATTGGGAAATTTCTCCGATCATATGGTAAAGGCTTACCGGAAATTATAGTTTTTAAAATTATAGTTCCTATTACCATACATTTCGTAAAAAACACAAACATGAAGTATAAATTTAACCGAATAAACAGTTTTTATAACATGCTCCAAGTTATGATGATAAAATTACCTAATTTAATTCACATTTATCAAATGTTATCACACATTATTAAACTTTATTTTATTGTTAATGTTACCAAAATCATTATCAAAGCGCATTGTTAAAAATTACTGAGCTTTTTTGTGTTCCCATTGAGCCAGAAACGCAGTAAATTTGACCATATTTTGGTAGTTTTGTTTATGCTTTTTTCTTTTCATTTAGTATTTTTTTTTAAAGGTTTTATGCACATTTTACATCAGAACACTTTGAATCAAAAATAGTCAACTTTCATTATCACTACGTTTGTACAACTTGATGAAAGTTGACCAATTTTATCCTCGAAAAAAACCTCTAAAAAAAGTATCATGGGTTTTAACTTAGTTACGTTGCGAACCAACGATAGACGAGAGTTTTTGATTGTGGACCTCGGACACTTCTAAATTGGAAACCTTCGATAAAAATATTCAGTCAGGATTTACTCAACAGCATACATCTTTCGTAGAAGCAAAATTGTTACAACTTTGGTTGAAATGTTTTGGCTTTAAATATAATTTATGAATAAATTTACTTAGCGAAAGTTCTTTACACGTATTAATAAATATATACAATTTTCTTATTTATAGAACTTTTTTTTCTTCTTTCTGACGTTTATAAAACGGTATTTTTGCTGCAAAAAATAAGATAAAGAAAAAAATGATCATGCATAATGTGTAAAACTCTATATTTACTATAAGAATTAAAATATGAAAATTAAGAACAGGATTCGGTATGCAAACTATTAACTGGTAAAGTGTAATGTAGATGTAATGTTGAAAGTTTTAGTACTTCATCAATCTGTTATAAAAGAAATTCGATACATGAATGAAGTAAATTCATTTTAGGTGTAAGACGTAAAAGTGTTTACTGATATTTTTTAACACAAAATGGTTGGGTGGGGTAAAAAGTATACACCGAGAAAAAGAGTGTGGTCAAAACTGCTTGAATATGGTAAAATTTACCATTCTTGCTAGGAATACCCAAAAGCTCTGCTATTTTTACCAAAACGCTTAGATAATGATTTTTGATAAAATATGCAAAAAATATATTATTTTATAATGAGCACTGAAATTTGGTAAATGTGGTACAATTTGGTAATTTATCATAGCATGAAAACCATTTATTTGGTTAAATTTATTTTTCAGTTTTCACAAAATGTGTGGTAATATGAACTATAACTTTGGAAACCAGAATTTTCGGTAAACTATTATTATATGTATGAACGAAAAAATTACCAAAAGACTAGTATAATTTTCGAATTTTATTATCAAAATTATTATTATTCTTTTATAAATAATAATAATAATAATAATAAAAAAGCAGAAATGTCATTGCTATACTGTGCGGTAATTTTACCAGAATTTTTTTCTTCGTGTACATTTCTATAGATGTAAGAGTTGTTTTTTTAAAATAAACTAGGGACTATTCCAGTGGTATCAACGTAAATAACATACAATTTAAACTTAGACACATTCAAATTTGCAGATGAAGTTCTTCAGAAAGAAAATATACCAAAACAAAAAGTAGACAGCAACACCATAAACAAACATCATTAATCTCGATAAAACTTAAAAATATTATTTCTTTAATCGTGTTTCATGCCATTTCAAAAAATATTTCAATGAATTAAATAGTTCATAAACACATATATTAAATCAACGTTGCCCAATTTTTAGAAATAAGTCATTTCGAATACACCATTGTTTTACACAATATTTCTTGTAATTTTCTAAAAAATTGTTCAAAAATGTCTTGAAACTGATTTTTGTTAAGGGAAAGAGAAAATATATGAATATAAACGTTGTTTCAAACATATCGAGCATTTTTCTTTGTTCAAATATTTGAATTATATTTAATGTATTGTCTACTAATATACAATAAATGAAAATTTGTTTTGAAAAGTAATGAAATGGAACGAGAAAAAAATAGTACAATTTGTTTATTTAAAAAATGTTATTAAATAGTCAAGTTTTACAACAAAATATTTGATGAAATGCATAAACATTAATTTTTAAAAACCTCTTTCTGCTCTATTTCTAAACCCTAATTCTATTAATTTTTTTTTACTAAATTTGCTCAATTCGCAAATAATTTTATTCCGTAAAACTATATTAGGTGCAAACGTAATCATTGAAAAAATATATCGTTAAATGAACAATTATTTTAACAAGATATTTCATAAAACACATGATATTGGCTGTTTCTAAAATTGCATTTGTGTTACAATTCAAATCTTTAAAAAAATTACAACTTATTTTCAATATAGAACTGATTTTGCTCTTTTAACAAATAAATTTGTCTCTACTGAATGCTGGAAAAATACTTCGGATTGTTAAAATAAAATACTTTTTGATCAGGATTATGCACATTCACTACTGTCTAATTTGATAATATACAACTGTTTTATTAATAAAAATAAGAGATTTGTTTAAAGTTTCATAACAATAAATAATAATATGTGACATAAAAATTGTATTTTGACTAAGTAAGTTAACAGACTTATGCAGATTGAGGTTAAATTGCTATTTATATTTATTTTAAATAAATTAGGAAATTTATTTAGAATGATTGTAGTGAAATTATAAATTATGATTAAATTACGTGATTTGCGTGCTATATGTTCTTAAACTTTTTTACTCAATTATGAATAAAAATAAGAACATTTTTCAACTTTCAAACTGAACATTCAAATTAAAACATTCAAACCAAAAGTTTATAAAATAACCTACATTTGTTTCCTACCTTATCATGATACAATTTCACGTTATCAATAATTATTTACATTTTACTTAAATATATTAGAAAACTTTACTCTTAAGTAATGTAGAAGTGATTATAGTATCTTATATAAATTTAGATATAGAAAAACAGAAATTTTCTCGTCTCACACATTGTTAAAATTTTTCACCCAAAAATATGATTTATGAGCAAACTTTTTTTTTTTTTTTTTTTTAAATAAAAGCTAAATTTGTGAAAATTTCTGACACAAAAATTAGTGAAAACTTATAGAATTAGTGAGAATACAAATAACACTTATAGAATTAATATGTAAATAATAATCATTAAATATTTTAAGTGAAAAGTAGAACAAAAAGAATTTTTCTGGAGGAACTTTCTGGGGAAAGTTATAAATTAGTGGAGTACTTTGGAAATTAATTATTTAAAACTCATGGAATTTGAAACTCATAATTATTTGAAACTCATGGAATTGCACACATTTATCATGACTCATTAGACTATAATATAATTTTTTCAGAAACTATTTTTATACATCTTCTTATATCTATGTTCATTTTTTTTGTTTTCCGGCTTTTTAGTATGTAATTTTTGTTAATTTTTTTTAAAAATATTTTTTAA